CCCCCTCCCAGCGCTTCCTGCCTCCATCCGGCCAGCGGAGAACTCCCAGGCACTTCCTGCCGGAGGCCTGGCTGGTTCCCTCTGGCCAGGGCCACGTGTGGACGCGGGGGCGGGGGGGTTGCTGAAGTGAGCCAGGAGCGGGGGCGGGGAGCTTTCTGGTGGCCTCACCGACACCCAGTGCCTCTGGCCACCTCCCCACCGTGCCAGGTGCTGCTGGCGCATCTCCTACAGCTGGCCTGGGGCAGGAGAGCTGGGCTCAGGGCTCCGGTGCAGGGGGGCAGAGGGGGCCAGTGCTGTGGCAGCTCTGGGTGGGGGGAGGTGAGCCGTCCTTGCAGCCCAAGGGCTGGGCCTTGTGGGCTGGCGGGGGGAGCAGGGGCTTTGATCCCTGGCAGAGCTAGGGGACAGGACTCTGGATCTGTCTCGGTTCTCTAATCCAACGTGTCTCTTTCCGCCCCAGTAAAAATCGACCCCAGCTCCATGTACCCCCTGGAGATGAACAGCGACAGCGAGGACAGCGTCACAGAGAGCAGCTCCGCGCCCTTCCAGGACCTGCAGAGGGAGTGAGTGCTGCTGCCGGCTGCCTGGGCGTGGCTGGAATGGGGCTGCTTCCTGGTGGCAGCGGTGGGATTGGTGCCTGCAAAGCACAGGCCTGGGGACCAGAGGGAGTTTGCCTGTTGGCCCGGCCCTTCCTCTGCCAGGACCCTGCGGCAGCAGCGACTGGGGTGCCCCTGGGGTCGCAGCCATTGTAATGCCACGTCTGCCCTTGGTGACACCAGGCACCGCTCTCCCCTCCCCCACACCGAGGCTGCACAGAGCTGCTTCATAAATGACCCTGGGCCCGTGGCATGGGGCAGCCCATGGCAGGGGTGGGGTCTGGCCAGCCCTCCCAAGGCTCTAGGCCAGGCCAGGGGGGCAGGTGGGTCCCTCAGGAGCCCAGCAGGGTCTGACGCTGCGTCCCCCTCACGCAGCCGAGTCCCCCGACTTGAAGAAGAGGCGGATTCACCAGTGTGACTTCGAGGGCTGCAACAAGGTGTACACGAAGAGCTCCCACCTCAAAGCCCACCGGAGGATACATACAGGTAGGGCCGGGCCCCAGGGCTCGTCCCCTCCCAGGGGATCCATCTCTTCTCCCCCCGGGTCCATCACTTCCCATGGCCTTTCTTGCCCTGCCCGGCCTACCCTGAGTCGGCTGCCGGGATTCACCAGTGTGACTTCGAGGGCTGCAACAAGGTGTACACGAAGAGCTCCCACCTCAAAGCCCACCGGAGGATACATACAGGTAGGGCCGGGCCCCAGGGCTCGTCCCCTCCCAGGGGATCCATCTCTTCTCCCCCCGGGTCCATCACTTCCCATGGCCTTTCTTGCCCTGCCCGGCCTACCCTGAGTCGGCTGCCGGCTAGCTGTGAGTGGCAGTGTCCGGCAGGCTGGGGTTCCCTGCCCCCCAGAGCAGGCAGGGGGCCCTGCCCTCAGGCCAGCTTGGACATACAACTCCAATGGCTAGTGAGCACTTGGGAGCAAGGCTGTCTCGGTTGAAAGCCAGCAGCCCTGCTTGGTGTGCCAGCACTCCAGCTGCAGGCCCTGCGCAGCTGAGACCCCTCAGCTCTCCCAGAGATGCCCAGGGGCGGGCGCTGTTCCTGGGCCCTGGCAGGGGTCCCTGGGAACCCCTCTCCACTGTGGCTTCCAGCCTCCCCACAAGCCTGGCTCAGTGGGGGCAGGGCCATCCCCTGCCCCGGAAAAGCCCGAATGCCCCAGCAGCTTGGGAAGCCGTGAGCCTTGTGCGGTCTCCTCCCTGCTGCGCCGGGGGGTAGCTAGCTGCCAGCGTCGGGGTTAATGGCGCGCTCGGCTTGCGTGGTGTCATTCTTGGAAGCACCACCAGGGGGCAGGCGTCTCCCCGGTGGCTTGCAGATGCCTTCAGTTGGGTTGAATGTGGCCAGCAGAGCCGGGGGCGGGCAGAGCGGATCCGTGTGCCCCGGGGGCGGGAGGAGTCTGTGCGGGTACCAGGGCTCCCCACGGAGCTGCTGCACTCAGCTAGCTGGGACACCCGGCATCTCGCACCGCAGGGATTGATTTTTGCTGATTGTGAGCGACTCTCCCATGCTGGTCCCTGCTCTGCTTCATGGGGTGCGTTTGTCCCCCCCCCCCACCGGGCCACCCC